GCGCATGGTGTGGGTAGGCAGGATGCAGCAGGGAGATTGTTATGTGTGGAGCTAAGATGGATATGGGAGAGAGAATAGAGGAACAGGAACCAAAAACCTACAAACAAACAAAAAAGAATGCTAGGGGAGCTTGCCATTGGAGTGGAGAGATGAGAGACTATGAAATGGAGAAAAACAGAAGGGGGAAGAGGAAGAAAAGAAAAGAATGAATAAATAAAAATTGGAAAGATTAAAGAACCGCCAAGTTCCCAGGGATTCCACCGGTGCAGCTATGAGGCTGGGGAAGTCGCTCCCAGGTGTTGCAGTACAGCCTGGCTAGAAAGCGTAGAGGTATACAATGCCAGGTATTCAGGGAACAGAAAGAGAAGGAAGATATAGAGAGACAAGAAACTGAACAATGAAGAAAGACAAAAAGGGAAAAAGAGGGAAAAGAAAACAAAACAAATTTAAAAAAAAAAAGAACAAGAAAGGCCCCCCAAAAAACAGAAAAATAAAACCAACAGAAAAAGAAATGCCCTCAGGGATCCCTCTGCACGTCTGTGCAATCTGAGGGGGAAGTCTCCTTGCCACGCAGCACCGTCTGGCCAGAAAGGGCTCCCAACTCAAGAAGAGGAAAAGAAAACCAATAATTCAAAAGAAACGAACAAAAGCCCCGGGATCCCACCAGTGCGGCAGCCCAGACCGGGAAGCAGCTCTACACTCGAACGGAGCTCCACTGTCCCTCAGGAAGAAGCAAAGATGGCACACGGAGCCAGGTATTTGAGCGAAAGGAGGGGGAGGTGGTGAGAGGTAAGGAAGAAATCAAAAGAAGCAGAAGAAAAAGCAACACTAGCAGCCAACAGATGGCACTCAGAGAGCCAGCTAGTGTGGGCTGATGTTTCTTGGACAAGAGACTGTGTCCGCGGGAAGCAGAGTGGGCTGAGTGTGGGTGAAGAAGGGTAGGGAGTGGGAAAGCGTATATCACAAATTACCAGAGCTCTGCAGCCCCTCAGGAAGAAGCAAAGATGGCGCACGGAGCCAGGTATTTGAGCAAAAGGAAGGGGAGGTGGTGAGAGGTAAGGAAGAAATCAAAAGAAGCAGAAGAAAGCAACACCAACAGCCAACAAACGGCACTCAGAGAGCCGGCCCGTTCGGGTGTGTGGAATCCAAGCAGCCGGTGTTTCCGGGTCAAGAGATTGTGGCCGCGGGAAGCAGAGGAGGCCAAGTCGGGGTGTAGAAGGGTGGGGGGTGGGAAAACGTATATCGCAAAATGCCGGTTGTTTTATCTCCCACTGGACGCTCCATGAGGCTGCTTTCTCTTACCCCGTTTGCTGGTCTCTGATAGGAGTCCAAGATGGCCGATCCGCGCTGCGTTAGCTGGTAGGGGACCTCTGCGTGAATTTCTCCTCGCTCTCCGTTCTCTGTCAGTTTTCTCACTCCATTTGGTGCTTGTCTGAGTTCTTTATGTCTTCATTTGATGTTTTAGGGTTTCAGGATTGTTGTATTCTCTGTTCGGCTTAGTTTTTCGGATCTTTGCTCTGGAGGGACTGCGTGGTGCTTCTCCCTAGAGCACCATTTTGCCGGAACTCTCTCAAATTTGGCATCTTTGATAGGAATATCACAAAAGAGGTATTTTGTTCTTCTCACTATATGTTATCAGGAGGCAGATGATTTTGATTTGTTTCATTGATTGTGTGCATTTTGATCACTTGATCACGTGCTATCTACCAGGTTTCTCTACTGTGAAGTTAATCTCTTTCCCTTTGTAATTTAATAACTATTTTGTGGGGAGGTCTTTTGAGACTATGTAAATATTCTGTTCCTCATCCAACTTTATTTATGTCAATATGGTTTCATGGTTTTCTGTTTTATTCAGTGGGTTATAATCCATTACTATCATTCTTTATTTTGATGTTCAAGTTCTCCTTGATTTGGCTATTGGGAGAACCTTCAGGATGACTTCTGTATTCTTTTTGATGTGTCTGTCATTCTTAGAGCATTTACTTACTTTCTGGCACAGCAAGATGTACTTTCCTGGCCTTAGCCTTGAAATCAACTGTTTCTCCAAGGATCTTGGTTCTTTCTGTGGAATATGTATTTAGAAGCCAAAATCTGGATGCTTGGGGTACTTATTGCTTTTGGGGTGTTGCAACTCCCAGGCTCTCTCAGTGGACAGAACTAAGAAGTATATGTGTGTGTATTTACATATGCATATTTATATCCATATTTATTTTATAGTTATATTTAATAAAATCTGTGCGTTCATAGTAGTAATTCCAAATCCATTCCAGCACAACAGGGCTCATTCTATTTTCTTCCTTTATTTGTATCTCCCTTCCTGCTGGTGCAGTGGTTAAGAGCTACGGCTGCTAACCCAAAGGTCAGCAGTTCAAATCCAGCAGCCGCTCCTTGGAAACCCTGTGGAGCAGTTCTACTCTGTCCTATAGGGTTGCTATGAGTTGGAATCGACTTTACATCAACAGGTTTTTACAGGTTTTTTTGTCTGACAGTAAGCAATCTAGCTCCCCTTATTCTTAATATATTTATTATTTGATCAGTTCCTCTTATATTAACAATCTTCTGTCCTTCCACTGCTCCGCCCCTGCATGAACATTTTTCTTACCTCCATTCAGTTCAGTCCTGACACCCCTCACAGTTGCTACCACCCCAAATAAACATTCTCTTTAATGTGCCCATGCTCCTGCCTCATGGGTGCCTGCCTTATCCTGCTTGGGCTCTGACATCCTGTGTTGGGCCTTTCTTATGTGTGGATGCCTCTCACCTTGCTTGAACTTTTGACACCCCATCCTGGGTTAAAGAAGCATCACTTTTACAAGAACTAGTTAAACCATCATTATTCCTTTCTCAAGAAAACATTTCTTTTAAATACACAAACAACTCTATACATAGTACAAAGTTTGTAATCTACCCTGTGGAGGGGGTTGGATATAAGAGTATACTCTGAAGCAAAAGGTTTAGTGGAGAGAAGATGCTTCTTTCATGGTACTAAGCCCTGTTTTTAAGATGGCTGTTGTCTGAGTTCAGTGGTGGGATGATAGATAATTAAATGCCAAATATCTGCTCATGAGTATGGCAGGATGCAGCTGTGGGCAAAATGAAGCATTATCTACATAATGAATAATCATTATGAGAATAATCAGAGAGAATGAGCATCGAGAATCATTCTCTTCAAACTCTCACTACCAAACAGCTGTTAAAAAATGTGTATACATATATAAATATATATACATACATGCACCTATATTTACACATGCAGTTTCATCACATACCAGGTATTTCTAGTGAGTCCAATGCAGTGGTATAAAGAGGAATGACCATAACAAAACTGAATTTTCCTCAGAAAGCTTGAAGTTGCAAGTTAACAACCAAGCTTCTAACTTATCCATGACTCTGTATGCTACTGCTGTGGAAACTCCCAAATGGTTTTCATGATGTTATTATTGTTCCTGACTTTTTTAGATTTCTTGCTCTTGGACAAAGCAGCTGTTTGCTTGTTTCAGGGCCTCTTGGTTTTTAGACTGCAATTGTTTTTTGACTTCTTTTTGGGTTTTCTCCATTTGGTTAATTTTGGTTCTCATTTGAGATTCCTGGAATTGAAAAATTGCCTTCAACTTTATAATTTTCCCTTTTTCTAAAAATATCTGATTTTTTAAATAAAGTACCTTCTTTAGGATGTACTCTTTTTCCCTTAGTTGGGTGGTGTTTGCAAAGTAGGTAGTACCTGGTGAGTCTAGAGCGAGGTCTAGAGAAAAGTTATTTTCATTAATTGTAATTGACTCAGAGTTGGAATTTGCCTTTGGCATTTTATTTTAATGTGAGAATAGAGTTTTTTCTGCTGCTTCCGTGGCTGCTACTATTGGAATGACAGCTTTGGTGATTTTGCTGCTGTTTTGGTTTCTGTAAGATGTATTTTCATAGTGTGCATAGTCAACATGGAATTTCCTGTCTCCCCTTTTTTGGTCATCTCTTCTGTCAAATACATACTGCTTCTTGCACTGCAAGAATGTGGTGGTCTGCACCTCTCGAGTTTGCAGAGTGGCGAGATTAATTACAGTTTTATTGCAGTATTCATAAGGCTTGGGCAGGACATACAGCTTCACATTCTGAGCACATTTCTCATGTGTCACAGTGGCTTTAATCTCTTGCTGCAGTCCTGCAGTCGGTGCATTGAACAACAGGAAGTGCAGCTTGATATTTGCAGACAGCACCTTGAAGAGGAAGCAGTGGTGCTACCTGATGCTGACAGAGAACCCTGCCATGTCTTGCTGAGGCAGTGATCACTGCCCTGCTGTCTTAGCTCACTGCTTTATCTGAACGCTCTGAGATACAGCCTCTTGATGACCCACAGGACTGACTAGCGAACTGTGGCAGACAGGCAGACTAGAGTCAGTGTGGCTGGCCCAGTATGTGAAATTTTAATGTAGAAAAAGTAGTATTGACTTACATATCATGTAAACCTGTACTGTATGCTATATGGCATATTGGGCCACATAATTCAGGGCAAGTCTTTGGTTGTAGGCAAGGGAAAAAACGTTTGATAAAAGTATGTTTGTTGTTTTACCTGTTAAAGAAAAATTCTTTGAAAAGAGTTTGCTTCTAGGTACAATGTAAGAACTTTTTTTTCCATCATAATATTAGCCAAATGTCTTGCTGATTTTAAGATTATTACTTGGCATACCCTGCCTTATTCCAGAAAGGATTTGAGGTAGCTAAAGCCAACTTGAGAGGTGAGCTTTTACCTATAAAATTGACCTTTTTAAAATGCTACTGAAAGAAATAGGTGTTAGATATCAAGACAGTCTGCTCTCTTATTCTCTCCAATCACATTCTCCACTCCATTCCAACCCACAAATACACACGCAGTACACACAACATGCATGTACCCACACATACAATTTTGGATGCCTGTGGAAACAGTCTATAAGCTATCACTCCATGTAAAATTGTGATGGGGCTATTGTGTTAGTTTCCGTTTTCTCATCATCCCAGTTTGTTTGAAGAAGAACCAGTTTTCAGTAAATGATTTTGTGTGTGTGCATGAAATTTTTTCCCTTCCAAGAGAAATTTGCGTGGTAATACTTTTATGTTTGTTTTCTTGCAGAAAAAGCATGCTTTGCGCTGCTATTGTCAAGCCATGCAAGTTTACAAAGGAAAAGGCTGGTCTCTTGCAGAGGATCACATAAACTTCACTATTGGGCGCCAGTCCTATACTCTTAGGCAGCTGGATAATGCTGTGTCTGCTTTTAGGCATATTTTAATCAATGAAAGTAAACAATCTGCTGCTCAACAAGGGGCCTTCCTCAGAGAATATCTTTATGTTTACAAGGTGAATGCTTATTTTTAAGAGTAGATACTAAAATACGTAAGTCATGTTCAGCAAAAAACATGTTCATTACTATTTCCTAAGTGTCTAGTAAAAAACAAACAATGCTTTGTATTTTCTGTCCTCCTGCCTCAAGTGAAATATCCTTCCTTCTATTAATTTCTCTCGGTTACACTATAGTAATTCCTGTGTCAGCTTCCCATAGATCCATACCTTCTCATCTTTCAGAGGGAGAGAAAAAGGAACACACGATTGCAATGGATGGTAACATGACATAATATAAAATTATCTGTGATTTTATAAATACACCATTAAAAAAAAAAGTCCACTAGGCAGAAATTAGTGGTATCTTTTCTTTTTTAAAAAGATTTCAAGAGTATCTACAAATAAAATGTTTACTGTAATATTAAAATTCTCTTTTCAAGAAATGAGGAACCCAAATCTTTGACCAAGAAGTGTAGCTTGCCATATCTTAATTGTAACAGACAATTATATATATCCTAATAGACTCCTGTTGTTGTTAGGTGCCTTTGAGTTGGTTCTGATGCATAGGGTCCCTTTGTACAACAGAACGAAACACTGCCTAGTCCCGCGCCATCCTCACAGTTATTGCTGTGTTTGAGCCCATTGTTGCAGCCGCCGTGTCAGTCCGCCTCATTGAAGGTCTTTCTCTTTTTCGCCGACCCCTCTACTTTACCAAGCATGATGTCCTTTTCCAGGGACTAGTTACTGTACCCAAAAGAACTGGTTGACATTCTACCATTTCAGGAGGTAGCATGTCTTCAAAAACTGATGGTACTGAAGGAGTAAGTCCAAGCTGCACTGAAGGCATTCGCGAAAAACAAAGCTCCAGGAATTGATGGAATACCAGTTGAGATGTTTGAACAGACGGATACAACATGCTGAAAATAATTAAAAAATGATTGCAGTTGTACATCGACAGGGAACTGCCAGAAACTCAAGCCAGATTCAGAAGCAGACGAGGAATAAGGGATATCATTACTAATGACAGATGGGATTTTGGCTAAAGCAGAGAATACCAGAAAGATGTTTAGCTGTGTTTCATTGTCTATGCAAAGGCATTCCACTATGTGGATCATAACATATTATGGATGAATATTACAAAGAATGGAAATTCCAGAACACTTAATTGTGCTCATGCAGAGCCTGTACATAGACCAAGAGGCAGTCATTTGAACAGGACAAGGGGATACTACGTGGTTTAGAATCAAGAAGGGTGTGTAGCAGGGTTGTAGCCTTTCACTGTACTTACTCAGTCTGTATTCTGAGCAAATAATCTGAGAAGCTGGACTATGTGAAGACGAACGCAGCATCAGGATTGGAGGAAGACTCATTAAAACAACCTGCAATATGCAGATGTCACAACTTTGCTTGCTGAAAATGAAGAAGACTTGAAGCACTTACTGATGAAGATAAAGACTGCAGCCTTCAGTATGGATTACACCTCAACATAAAACAAAAATCCTCACAACTGGACCAATAAGCAACACCATGATAAACAGAGAAAAGACTGACATTGTCAAGGGATTTCCTTTTCCTTGGATCCACAATCAACACCCATGGAAGCAGCAGTCAAGAAATCAACGTATTGTGTTGGGCAGATCTCCTGCGAAAGACCTCTTTAAAGTGTTAAAAAGCTAAGATGCCACTTTGAGGACTAAGGTGTGCCTAACCCAAGCCATGGGATTATCAGTCACCTCATTTGCATGTGAAAGCTGGACAATGAATAAGGAAGACCAAAGAAGAATTAATGCCTTTGAGGTAGCAAGTGGCCATGTAAGGTGCATCAATTGGTCCCAACCACCTGGAGTAAAGGAGAATGAAGAACACCAAGGACACAAGGAAAGTATTCGCCCAAGAGACAGAAAGGGCCACATAAACCAGAGACTTCATCAGCCTAAGATCAGAAGAACTAGATGGTGCCCAGCTACCACCAATGACCACCCTGTCAGGGAACACAACAGAGAGTCCCTGATGGAGCAGAGAAAGTTGGGGTGCAGAACTCAAATTCTGGGAAAAAGACCAGACTTAATGGTCTAACTGAGACTGGAGGAACCCCAGAAAGCATGGCCCCCGGAGTCTCTGTCAACCCAGAACTAAAACAGTTTCTGAGGCCAACTCTTCAGACAAAGGTTGGACTGGACTGTGGGACACAAAATGATACTTGTGAAGAGTGTGCTGCTTAGCTCAAGTAGATACATGAGACTAAATGGGCAGCTTCTGTCTGGAGGTGAGATGAGAAGGCAGAAAGGGTTAGGAGCTGGTTGGATGGACATGAGGAATCGGATGGAAAGGAGGAGTGTGCTATCACAGTATAGGGAGAGCAATTAGGGTCATTTAACAATGTATGTATAAATTTTTGTATGAGAGACTAACTTGAAATGTAAACTTTCACTTAAACTACAACAATAAAAAATAAAAAAAAAAAAGAATTGATGCCTTATGATCCATGTACATGTGTTGGTGAAGAATATTGAGTATACCATGGACTGCTGAAGAACACACAAGTCTGTCTTGGAAGAAGTACAGCCAGAAGGTTCCTTAGAAGCAAGTATGGCAAGACTCGGTCTCATGTACTTTGGACATGTTATCAGAAAGAGCCAGTCCTTGGAGAAGGACGTCATGCTTGATAAAGTAGAAGATCAATGAAAAAGAGAAAGACCGTCGATAAGGTGGATTGACACAGTGGCTGCAACAGTGGGCTCAAACATAGCAACGATTGTGAGGATGGCGCAGGACTGGGCAGTGTTTCATTCTGTGGTACATAGGGGCACTATGAGTTGGAACCGACTTGACAGCGCCTGACAACAACAACAGGAGTCTAGTAATAGTAAAATGATTTTATTAGAATGTGTGTGATTATCTGTTACGATGAAGTTGTGACAGTTTACAGTTGTTGGTCATAGATCTGGGTCCACAGTTCTTTAAAAGAGAATTTTAATATTCCAGTAAACATTTGATTTGTGGATGTTCTTGGAATCTTAAGATGCCACTAATTTCTTCCCAGTGGACTTTTTTTTAATGATGTATTTATAGAATCAAATAATTTTATAATATATTGTGTCCTGTTACCATCCATTAGAAACATATGTTCCTTTTTTTCCCCTGTGAAAGATGAGGAGGTATGGGTCTGTGGGAAGCTGCCTTAGGAATTATTACAGTGTAACCCAGAGAAATTAATAGGAAGGAAGGATATTTCACTTGAGGCAGGAAGACAGAAAATATAAAGGATTGTTTTATTGAAATAATGGGAAGTTGTAATTTTTTCCCCAAGGCTTATAAGAGGTGAGTATTGTATCTGTTCTGCAGAAAATTACTCACCCCTTTGTACCTTATTAATTTGAAATCATATAGGTTAGAATTTTGGCAGATACGATGCTGTAAACAGTCACAAGAAGTAAAATGCATACCAAAATAATATTTGAAAATGTAATATCCAAAGAGAGCTAACTAGCTAAGTAACCTTAGGAAGATTCTCTTGAGTCAGAATAAATGATTAGATCTAAAGTTTTATGACTGATGCATTAAAGAAAACCAGTAACTGTATAGGTTAATATTCTTGCTTAATTTTTAATATCTTGTGCATTAAAAAATGAGAAAGTAAATTAAAAAAAAAAAGTAGTTTTCTCATAAGTTATTCTTTGTCTTTTGTGTTTCTCCTAGAATGTAAGTCAGCTATCACCAGATGGTCCTTTACCACAGCTTCCTTTACCATATATTAACAGTTCAGCAACACGGGTTTTCTTTGGTCATGACAGACGACCAGCCGATGGTTAGTAAAGTCTTATTTGGCCTTGTTGTATTGTGACAATTTTTTTTTTTTGTTGAGTTTTTTGTTTTCTTTCCCCATTTGCAAAATGAAATGTAGTTGATAAAGAGTATTTGGACTAAATAACTGTATCCAAGTCACCTGTCATCCTCCTGGTGAAGATAACCACTACTTTGCTGTTTTTCTTCCAGCCTTAAGAACCTAAAAACAAATAACAACAAAATAGCTGAAATCACAACAACTTCTCCCACATAATATAAGGATGCTCATGTTATTACATAATCTTGATTAACATTTTTAGTGGTTATATTTCATTCAGTACATATAAAATGCTTTATTTTCCCATTCAGTTGTTACATATTTAGATTGTTGCCATGTTTTTGCTTATATAAAGTTATATTGTGATGAACATCTTTGTGGATAAAGTTTTTTTATCTTTTTATTATGTAATTTTCAAATGTACATAGAACTGGAGAATACTTAGTAATATTCTATTATTCTTGCTGTAAGCCTTTTTAAAAATATAGGAGTATTTCCTTAGTATTGAGTCCTGGAATTGCAGTATGGGGCCAAAAGTATAAATATATTAAGGCTCTTGATGCATATTAAAGTAAACTTAGTAATTCTAAACATTCTTATATTTGAGCTTTACCAATATGTCTCTTTGAGATTATTAGTTTTTTTCTATTTAATATTTATCAGGATTTTTATAGCTGCATTATTTTTAATAGCAAAAAAATAAAAGAAAAACTGAAACAGCTTAAATTCCTAATAAATCAGTAAATTTTGGTATATTTATATAATGGATTCATACTGTAGGCAATGAGTGAATGAGTTCTACATATTTCACCATGGACAGTATACCTATAATGTAATGTTGAGTGAAAAAAGCTAGTTACAGAATGATAGGTCAAATATAATTCTATTTTTACCAATTTTAAAACATACAAACTAATTCTGTGCATTGTTTATAGATACTTCATATGTTGTAAAATTTTAAAAAAATGGATGAGAATGATGAACTTTAGAATAGCTGTGGGAAAGAAGTGCCTGTGGGGGCTGAGGGAGGGTAATAGAGTTGGGGACAGTTAGAGAGGAGACAGCAACACTATCTGCAACATATTATTTTATAAAAAATATTTGGAATCATGTGGCAACGGTTGATATTGTTAAATTTTGGCATACAAATATTCTTCATGCTTCTTCTGAATGTTTGAAATATTTCATAATGAAAATTGTAGCAGACTGCGGAAAATACATACTTCTGCATTGAGGAGGAAAGGAGTGTCAATATCAATAAGCAAAGTTCCAGTTAAGCTAGAGTATTAACCTAGCCAGATAAGAGGGTACGTTTCTCTCAGATAATTGGAAATGTGCAAGGATGAGCGTGTACACGTATTTTCGCCTGTTCCTCACTTACCGACTATCTCGTTAGCTGGCATTTCACATTTACCGCAATAGTGAAAAATATACTATCGGGCTATTTTGTGCATTATTGAGGCGGCGAGCATGACGACAGTGGCTGTGGAGCATCCCCTCCCTTGAGGAGGGTCTCTGGGCGGCCTCTGGGAAGCTGGCCTACACTGCCTTGCGCTCTTCACTTCCTCCTGCTGGCGGGGGCACTGCATCCAGCTGCCGCTTGGGGCCGGCCTCCTCAGTGGCCAGGGCCTCTGGGCAGACACGCAGATAGCACTGAGCCAGTGGGCACCTGTTCTGGGTTCCCAGTTCCTATGCAGCCTGAGGCCCTGCAGCTCAAAATTGCTGTGGGGTGAGACGGGAGGAAAGAAAGAGGCATCGGAGAGGGTGTTTGGAAGAAATGCGTGCGATTTAGTGACATCCCATAGTGAGCTGAACTGGGTCTGAAGCCTCCACCTTGGTGGGGCCAGGTGTGCTTCCAGACTCCAACACCCTCACAGGAAGCCCCAAGCCTCGGTGACTCTCCAGGCCAAGAGGGCAGAGGAGGCTCCAGGATCGTGAACGCAGGGCTTGCAGGGGTAGGATTGGAGCCCTGGAGGCGGCTCCACGAGGGAAGCTCTGACCGAGCACAGGAGGGAGGTGAAGTGGTTAACTCGTGGGCCCTACAGTCACACAGCCGGACTTTATCCAGCTTTGTTTCCTCTAAGCCTCCTTCTCCACAGAGGAATAATCCATAACTGGACTCGTCACAGTGATGAGCACGTCATTCAATCTTGTTGTTGTTAGGTGCCATCAAGTCAGTTCCGAATCATAGCGACCCTATGCACGACAGAACTAAACACCACCTGGTCCTGTGCCATCCTCACAATTATTGTTATTCTTGGGCCCATTGTTGCAGCCACTGTGTCAGTCCATCTCATTGAGGGTCTTCCTCTTTTTCGCTGACCCTCTACTTTACCAAGCATGATGTCCTTCTCCAG